TTATTAAACAACTTCATAAACTATATTAACGAACGATACGTTAAGCGCATAATGAAAAGTAATTTATCGCACACGAACAACGTTCGCGGCAGCCCTTATACACGCATTACTTCTTTTGTAGATTAGAGTTTCTCTCGCAGATAGGCAGCGAGAGAAAATTAGTTAAACGCTAATTGACGAGCAATTGGCCCTTTACACTGGCTTTATTTCAGCTTCTTTATATAGCACTTATAAAGAGCGTCCCGCCTCTACTATAGTAACGCTTAATGACACATTCTTTGACCAATTTGGAGTCCAATTTCCCTCAACAAAAATACCGTGAAAGATTATCAATTATCATAACGTCACCCGACATTTAATACCATTAAGATAATAAAAATCGTAATATCGTTAAAATTAAAAATCCTTAGCTATAATTTTATAGTAATAAAAGTTTCAATTAATATCATGTTAAAATCTGTTTAATTAAATCCACTAATTTCTTTTTTCTCGGAATTTTATTTTCAAAGTGTAAGTGATATTCTACTAATGTTGCATTAGCAGCTTGTATTGCGCTTTGAATCTTAATAATTGAAATAATTGAACAACATTACAATTATCCGATGTGCATAATTGATTTAAATAAAAATCTGCCAGTGCAGATTTATGCGATATCGAAAAGACTTCCCGAATGCGATTTTTATATAGGCGCACTTCTCTAGTCGTGTATAAATACTTCCGTATTGCTGCGAGCGTGTCGTAAAGAGTAGTCGTAAAGACTCGACGACTTGGTCGACGACCAAGACGAGCCTAAGTAAAACGACCTTGCGCAAACAGCGACAAACGCGTTCGGGTTCGACGACCGCTCGGTATAAATCGCAAGATGTAACCGGCAGCGCCTTTCTACAGCCTTGACTGCAACCTCCAGCGCTTCCAACCAGCTTGCTCTGCTACCAGCCTCGTCACGTGCACCAGCGTGCATCCTGTGACGTGTCACTGTCCCTCTCCGCCGCGGGGCCAGTGCGAACAATGCATGATTGCACGTACAAATCGATAAATAAGGCAAATTAACGTTTTTCGCAGAATGTTACAAGCGGCTATTGTGCTCGCGTGCTTATTAGTGCTTTCCTGAACATGTGGTTTGACCCTTTTATTCCGCGAGCGCCGTCCTGTTACAAAAGAGAGACTTTGCAGCAACGACGAGCACAGTTGTGATAACAATACCGACCATTTTTGTGCTAATTTGCAATTCATGACATCTCATGTCTTACATTTATATTCATGTAACAAATTATCTCGCAGAGACACTGGTTCCTGGTAATTTCAGTACTTTTATGCGACTTTATTAAATTCGTATGTTAAATGTATATTTACAAACCTGAATTATTATTCTTATCGATCATGCTTCGTAATACATTTTATTATCATAATTAACATCGTGTTAAAACATTGACCTTTGTAATAATGGCAATGCAATTTGCGCTAATTCATGAATAATGCGTTAATTGCTTATTATTTTAATTTTCTTTTTAAAAATTTCTAGCATTCTTTATTATCTTAACAGCTTTGATATTTATATATCGTTAAATATTTATGAAACTAAATTATTAATATTTATTGTCTTATAATGCATTTTAATATCACATAGTTAAATAATATAATTTCTAATTCCGATTCAATTATCAAAAATTTCACATTTCTATTATATATCTCGGCATCCAATTTTCGTTTAATTAACGGAGAAATAATTAATTGTAATTAAATACACGGAAGAGATATATGTATCAAAATTCACGCAGCCGTAATCGCAGAAATCTCACTATGTGGCGTTACACCGATCAAATCTCGTCGACTTTGTAATTTATGAAAGTCCAAACTTTCGCGAATCAGATACCACTAATAGATGATGAAAACATTATCTTTTGAAATGACGCAACGATCGTCCTGGCATTCTTCCAAAAACAGGCTTCCCTGATTCTCCACGTCTCCGTAACACGAATATCCTACATAGCTTTTTAAATACATATCGATTATTTGCATCAATCTTCGTTAATCAAATAGTCACAGAAAGTTTTGCCCGATCGTTACGTCCGATGCTGCATAATATAACTGCATAATGCAATCACATCGAATAAAATACCTCAGTATTTCGATTAAGAATATATCTTATTAAACTTAAGCATCTCTCCACCCTTAAAGACTTCAACGCCCGCGTTCGCAAGCAAGACTCAAAAGACACTGTGTCGCCTTTCGCAAAATTCTCAATTCGTGTGAACGACCCCTTTTATCTCCGGCGTGAAAACGCGGCCTTAACGGGAGTATTTAACCGCGAAGCGATGTGCTCACACGCGAGCGCATGACGTGGACGGATGTCGGACTGAATTGGCGCAATGACCATAACTGGGGGCCAACGTAACAAATGTGCGACCCTTCTTTTCGTCCGCGTTAAGACGACGGATATTTCAGTTTCCACGAAGCTTGCAAATCCCGCTTTTTCCGCCGTATATTTCGCTAAATGTAATTCTTCGCCTTCGAGGAAAGGTCAATTTTAAATCCGTCGGTAAATACATGGGTCTATAAAACGCGCAACCGAATTTCTACGGTCTATCGAGGCATTAAAGTGAAAAATGTTCTCATAAATATACATTTAGAAAAGATAACCTTCGAAAGAAAGGATATAAGAAAATCTACAATTTGATAACGAAATGCTTTATACAAGTTACGATAACAATTCAGAATTTCCTTCCTTTGCACGAATACTTGATCGTTAAATTAATAAATATCCAATTTCTTTCGAACAATCAGTGTTGCCAATTGTTGAGGATAAATTATCAATCAAATTACTACGTAATATGTCCATAGTATGCAAATTCCTATCTGCATCTTTTCTCGTGATTGAATCGCATCGCAATTGATTGCGAGTGGAAAGGATTTCGATCCTTCAATATGTACAACAGCGCGGAGACGTAGTATCTCTTTCAGATCCCGTTGTACGCGAACTGCGCCGTGGATAATAAGGTCACAGCGATCTATCCTACTGTACGACCTTGCCTCCCAGTTTCCGCTACCACGGATTTTTCTAGTTCACCGATTCAGCCCCGATTTGACGGCACTGCCGCGGATCTATTGACGAGGATAATCTGATTCCGTGAATCTCCAAGCGCAATCGTATTACAGAAAAAAATTGAAAAAATACTTGCAATAATAACGCTATCGAGGAATGTTTGCAAATCATTTCGCGTAGCGTATCGAGACTCCTCCAATTTATTCCTCTCAATTCGTAGACACAATTTATGGTATTTTTCAGCGTTAAATTATTCAAACACCGGTATTCTCCTGCGAGCGCATAAACACGACAGAGATGTATTTCAATCTCTGTAAAAATATTTGTTTTGCTTATATATATATATATATATATAAACGCGGGAGATTGGTCGAATATATTTCTACGGAGTTTTCACGCCGCTTTCGCGCCGGCAATGAATCGTTTAAGCGTTAACGAAAATATGGCCGGCGAGGATGAACCGGGAAATTTATGCGGCCCGGTTGATCCTCTTTTTACGAATAAACTTATCATTTCCCCTTGGACACCGCGTAAGTTTTATGTAACTGTAAAAAAGCAGCAGCAGCAGCTGCTGCAACGACCGCTATGAGCCGCGCGAACAAAGCGCGTTAATAACACCGAGAACTGCGCACGTTTCTCATTCGCATTCCTCCTCGTGCGCTCGCTCCTTTTCTTATTCACAGTGCATAATGTTTCGCACGCGCCCCGCAAAATCGATTTTTTTTTTCACGTAAATTCACAACAAACGCGCGACATTCGCGCGACGGGTATCGAGATGTTGCTCACGATTACGCGATATCGTCCTCCTCTCGTCGAAGGACGCGATAAAATGCGTCTTTATGATCGCTTTTTTGAAGGATTCGTCATGGTATAAACATGATATGCATTATAATGATCAAGGTAAAAATAAAGATTAAAATGTTATACCAGAAACGCAACGCAAAACCAATTTGTCCGCGCGAATTCGGAACACGTAAACAGGTGCGTTGTTCACAGGAAGTATCGAGATGCTAGTCGCGTTTCTGTATGCGATATCGCATTCCTCGTTGAAGGACATATTCGCAGCACAATACATTTCTATGATTGTTTTTCTTAGAACGTTCAGAAAATGATGGCCAATAACGAGGCAATAAAAATTAAAATCTTCCGGTAGAAACAGATGTGAATTCTTAAACGGCACACAAATGGTGAACGATTGTTTAAATTTTTATGAGCTTCAAATTAAGCAAATCGTATTGTGCGAAGCGATTAATAAGCAAATAGTCGTTTGAAATTTTCCAAATAAAGAGCAATATCCACAGCAATTTTACATAATGCACTGTCTGGTTATTCTAGAACGAAGTGTGAAAGAAAATCGGAGTACGGACGACAGCTTAGCGCGCTTTCCTTTCAACGAGCGAACCTTATGCATCGACTAAAAGCAAACGCAAACGTTTTCTTTTGTGCGATATAAGAGCCGGAGACCTTAAGTTGTGTAAACATCAACATTTATCCCGATTGCGCACTTGTCACTCTTTGTGAGAAGCTGCTTATTGTAGCAATACTACTTGCATGCGTAATCGCGCAACAGTTTGACGTATTCTTGTCAATTAATATTTATGGTGAAATTCAACATAATCAATTCAATCACCTGCTGTATTACTCTTTCTTAAAAATTGCATTTATTTATACAATTTAAAGCATTATCTTTTTTTCCTCTTTCTCCAAAATTTAAAATATAAATATATCACGTGAAAAATTAGACAAATCAACATTTTGCTCGCTGAAATAACGCGATATCGAGAGATAAAAGTAATTTTGCATTTTAATTGCAATCAACTTATAAATACGAAGTGTACTGTGAAAAAGTATTGCGGCATTATTTGCAGCGTTTCAAAACAAGATGTAGAACCGAATCGGGACTTGTTAATGAAATCCGATTGTACGAACGTTGTTTGGCGAACGTGAACGTACATACCGAGTGGAACTCTCGCTGGCCAGCCGCGACTTGTCGCTGTGGAACGGCGTGCCAAAAGTCATGACAGAGCAAGTGGGCGACGGGCGTTGCTGGGATCGTTTGTCCTGGGTAGCGTCCTTATCAGCGGTACGTCCGCCGAACAGCTCGACTAGTCAGCTGATCGCGCGATGCTTCATCGCTTCGGTCAGCGCGCGCATAACGACGGCGGGAATTTTCTCGCCTGCCACCTGACTGTCCTCCTCCCGTGCGGCGATCAACACTCTTTCACTCGTTCGGAATTAGCACCTGGATGTTCTGAGAGAGGTCGAAGGAAATCGCTCGATCGCTTTCCAGTCGCTCGTTTCCTTCTAAAAGTCTGTCCTCGCGCGACCTAATCGCCGCTTCGTCGCGAACGCTTTCCGACAGCTGGCTGCGCCTAATTCAACTCCACTCGAGCGCGGACGCGCGCTCGGGGCGTTTTCGTTTGAATACAGAAGCGGAATTGGGAATCCGGTTCGCAGCCGGCGCGAAACGGTCCTCCCGCTATCGCACGCGCGGATGTAAGAGGCGGTGGGGCCTCGTCGGATCGGCGTGTCGTGGTTGGTAACGGTATATCGCGAGGAGGCGTTCGCAGGAGATTTACCGGAGCGAGCAGGCTAAGTGCAACGACCGGCTGATCGCGTTTTGCCGCCGCCGCCGCTTGTCTCGTCTTGTGCTGATTGCGCGTCTTTATGAGGTCGCGCGGCGCGTTGTCTCGTGCCGGGATATCGAATTTACGAGTATCCGTGCTGACTCGCCTCGAACTTGGACTATTAATCTAAGCCGCTTGTATCGGTCGTCCCGTTTCGGTCAGTTGATCTTTCGCGTTGGGCACGCGTTTCCCTATTCGGCCTACAGTTGGCTCGATTCGTTCCGAAAATTAAGCCGTTTAATCTCGCTATCCTGAGCCGCTTAAGCGCCTTATCCAGTCTGTGATCGTTACGCAGATTTTCTATCTGCGCAACTAATCCGCACCGCTAATTTGTCTTGCTGGAGGTTGATCCGTCTTGAGTCGCTTCGAAGCCTAAATGTCTCGATTCGACTGCTTCTTGCGAAAACACTTCGATCAAGCCTCGTTTGAATTTTTGATCGCAGACTTGTTTGTCGAAACTGTTGACCTGTTTCGTAGGGTATAGAATTTTCGTGAGTGCTGTAGCTATAGTGTTACGTGTCCTCTATTTAATTCAAGCTCCTTAATCTTAATGCAAAATCCTGCTTTAGATTTCCAGACCGCGCAACATCCGCACCGCGAGATTTATCTCCAGCTGGAGCACGATAATCTTCCTCGATTTATCTCAAGCTCTCTCTCTCTCTCTCTCTCTCTCTCTGAATCTCAATGTAATTATCATTCGGGCTTGTTTCGCGCACAATATCCGCTCGCTTCAACTTCTGCGAGATGTTCCGTAGCACCGTGGCTTGCCCGCTCGCGCGAATCCACGCTGCTCCCAACTGTCAACGAGCTTCTAGCGAGGCGGTATCGTTATTCCATTTCTCCGCGCAGCATCCGCGGATGACAGACGTCGCGCGGCGAGAGCGTCATGCGCGTCAAGTGTCGCCGGAAACGAAACGGACAGCGTCTTGGCGCTTCTCACCTGCCGCCGCTGGTCCTCTCTCGCTCGGCGGTAACGCTCTCGGAGTAACGATCGCGCGTGAACGAGAGGAGGGAAAAGAGAAGGAGCCGTCGAGAGCGGGATCGACCGACCGCGGCC